CTCTGGCTCGCGTCCCCACCCCAGTACAGCAACTGGTGACTCAGTGGCCAGGCCTGGCGAGTTCTCCTCCAGGCCCTCCTTTGGACACTGCCTCCAAAATGCCCCTAAGAAATGCAGGAGGCGATTAAATAACCCTGAAAGTCCTCGGTTCGCTGATGAGCCGACCAAACGCGGGTGAAGAAACGCGACCGGGCTCTTCCAAGCTGCTCCGCGTCGCCAACGGGCACCTGCAGCGACGGCTCTGGGCGCTGGCTGACCCGGGGACGGAAGCAGGCTGGATGTTGGCCCCTGTGACATCGGGCACCACACGCAGAAGGAGGCCGGTGAGAAACGAACATTTCTTGCCCTCGGATGTTCGAATTCCTCGACGGTGAGGTTTAGGGTAGGTCTCGTCCATTCAAACACAACGCCAAAAAATAAAGAAGTCATTGAGAAATCAAAGGTCAGACGGAGAGCACTGAGCCTCCTGATAACAAGGTGATTAATTCAGCTGCTTTTAGTACTAATGTAGGCGTTCACTTTGTGCGGTCCTTTATTTTCAATAAACATGGGATTCCTTTACTTTGGCTCCTGATATTTTCAACAGATTATAAGCGCAGCCTTGAGGGCTGGAAACATCTGACTTACTCTGAGCAGGCTGGGCTTAACTCTCCTGAACGGGGACAAGTGCTGGGTGGAAACAAAGGAGCGGCTGGCGGGGTGGCCTGCTCCCGTCTGCTGGTGCTGAGCAGGGTGCCAGGACAAGCCAGCCTGAGGTCTCGCTCCATCAACCATCTTTGCAGGGCGCCGGGGGAACCGGGAGCTCTGGGGCAAAAGGGGGGAAAAAGAAGGAAAAAAAAGGACAAAGAAAAAGAGAAGAAGAGAAAGCAGAAAAAAGAAATTAAGAAGAAAAGAAGACAGAATGATGAAAAAGAAGAGAAAAAACCAAACAATAAAAAAGAAAAATAAGAAAGGAAAAAACTTAAAAAGACAAAAGAAAAATAAGAAAAAAATTTGGGGGTTTTTTGGTGAGTTTGGTTTGGACTGGGGGGAGGTGTTTTGGTTTTCGGTTTTGTTTGGGGTTTTTTTGGGGTGTTTTTCCCCACAAAAGCCCCAGCCCCACTTGCCTGGTGCCTCTGGAGGCAGCCGCAATGGCACAGACTCTGCTGCCCACCTCTGCCAGCTACCCCCTCCACCGCACCAGGGCCTGTGCCCCTCCAAGGGGACATTCCTCCCTCCCTCCCTTCCCTCCTCCACCCTCAGCTGGGCCCCCTCCTCTCCTGGCCCCGGCAGCCCCTGCCTCTACCTCCCC